TCGCGTTTGATTTAAACCGTTCGATCACGATTAATCAAGGGAGGTGAATCTAGACCACTCATCGTGATCTGATCTGGACTGTTCGATCGCGTTTAAATAGGAAGTTGATCTGAACCCGTTAATTGCGTTTAAATCTGACCCTTTGATTGCGTCTGGAGAGGGATCGCATCTGGGTCATCCGTGCGTGTGAGAGCGAATATGAACCATCTAATCGTGGGCACGCGGATCGCCAGCATGGCCTCTTGCATGGCACCACATCAGCGTCCCCTTGCCACGTGGCAAGCTCCGGTTCGTCGGAGCTGCTGACTGGGTGTCCTACGTGGTACAACTTTTTAAAATTATATTTTAACCCCCAGGTTCCGATTTTTCTTTCAAAAATACTGTTAGAACCTAAATTTTCACCAATTTCTTCCAAAATTATTTTCAATTTCATTATTCACCTATTTTTCTTCATTTTTATATTAAATTAAAATTAAAAAATTATATTTATAATTTAATTTTAAATACATCAAAATTAATTGGGTATTACATTTTTTATTTTGTTTTAGGGTTAAAAAATATTGTAATTTTTTAAATGTATTTATATGCATACTGTTAGGGATAGTCTTCCAAAACTTTAAAATAGGGTTTCTGTTTTCTTCATTTGCAAGAAGAAGCCAACTACCCTTTATTCATTTGCTTTCCTTTTGCAAATTGTAACTTCCCTTTAACGGTGGAAACATATATATATATATATATATATATATATATATAAAAGACAAAGATCGAGTAGTTTGTTATTATTATTATTATTAATTTAATTAATTAATAAAAACTATTTTAAAGTCATGATTTTATTTATTTTTAATTAAAAATTAACATAAAAAAAAAAAATATTATAAATCAACAAAAATTATCATTAATTTAATAATTTACCATACAACCTACAATCTGCTATCAAATTTACATAATATAATGCTGTAAAAACTCATTCTTTATCTACTCAAAACTAAATAGATTAACATATATTTTTAGACTTTCAATTACAAGTGAATCATAGAATTTATTAATTTGTTGGATATGTTTTACATTGTCAATTATAATGTTTGATTTAATTAAATAAAAAATTTAATTTATTAATATTTTAATAAAATTAAATGATTTAATTGAATTAACAAATTTATTATATTTCTAAATAAAATTTTCCAACTAATAAAATAACCGCGGATGAGAAAACAAACTTAAATCTTTAATGGGTCAAAGGAAATAATAATTAATGAATTAGCAAATAAAAAGGCCACCGACTTGACTTGCGGACGTGGAGGGGAATATGTGTAACGGACAAAACTCGTCTGACAATTAAGCGCCACGTGGCATGCCAACTGGCAACCACCCATTTGAGCATTTTTCTGAAAGCCCCATTTCTCCTACCTATTTTATTTTATTTCTTATATTTTTAATTTATTTATTCTTAGATTGTACTACTATTAAATAACCTCCACATTTTTTATTTTTTTTAATGTTCTTTTATGTGTCATTGTCACTTCCATATGGGTGTATCCCTTGACACATGTTCTCCCCTTTTAAACACTTGTCATCTCTTAAATTATATATATATATATATATATATATACACACACACACAATTGCCATTTAATCAAACACAAAATATTTTTAAAATTATTCATATTATTTAAAAATTAGTAGAATGAAAATGAATTTTTGTCACCTGTTATTACTTAATTAATAAATATAAAATAATTATTTTTTTAGAATATAATAAATTTATTAAAATTAATATAAATAAATCATCATAATTTTATCTATACATTAATAAATGAAACTAGTTTATAAAAAATAATCAATTATTAGCTATGAAGAACAATTACGCCTACCGTAAATAATGTAATTAACAGAAGTTCATAATTACTACTTACAAATCTCACCGGCTTTCATAAACACAAAAGATTTGTTTACATTTGCGGGATTTATGGGGTTAAAGTTTTGACTAATTGATTCTTCAAAGTAATGATGAGATTAAGAAGCAATCAATCAAATCTTCAAAGTAATGTTAGATCATGAAAGCTACTACTCTCTAACACAACACCCCCCCCCCCTCCTTTATAAAAATACTATTCGTAATCCTCAACTAAATTCAAGTGAACAGATGCAAAAGCGTGTGAACCTTCTGAAAAAGGAAATATGTATATATATGTATGTATGTATATACAGAGAAATATTTTTATTTTTATAATTTTTTTTTAAGAAGATGACAATATGGCAAGTTTTGGAGAGGGGGCCAGTACCCACCTAATCAAAAACGTATTTTCTCTTTCCAACGAGCAACATAGAAAATAAAAGGAGAAAAGGGTAGTAAATGATGGAAATTTATTTTACAAAAATGGAAGCCAAAATGTGATTAAGATTTTTCTTTTTTTATTTTTTTATTTTTTAAAAAAAAGAATAAGGGGTGGAGGGGGATCAATTTTTTTTTTTTTTCTTTTTTTTCTAATGTGGCTTTGGATTCTTCTGGCAAGTCGTGCCTGCCAGCTTTTGCCTGGTGTGGCTAAACGAGTATAAAATCTGTCTTCAATAATATATATTCTACAAATAAAAAATAAAAAAAAAAAAATCCAAGAAAGAGAGATTAAAAGTAGACCCATTTTCTGATTTCTGGGTTTTTTGAGTTGAGATTTCTGGGTCTCTAGTAGCAGAGAGAAATGGTGGAGAACTGGATGGTGGGGGTGGTCTTGCTGCTCACGCTCTCCATTTCAGGGTGGAAACCGAGCTGTGTCAATGGTGCCACAGATCCATCAGATGGTTAGTTCTTTTTCTCCCAAATCTTTTCTTTGCAAAATGGATTTGCATGTGTTAAAATCTTTTTCCCCAAATCTTCATTCGTCTTTTGCTTTTGCTACTTTTTGGGTCTGGTCCTGCTTCTTATCTGTGACTCGTGACTCAGCACTCACTGCAGAATATGCAGATTCTACTTTTCATTGCTGATTTTTATCTACTGAAATGGATAAATATACTGCCTTTAAAAATGGGTATTGGTTGTAGTTATGTAGATCAGTTCTTTACGATTGAAGTTTGAATCTTTATCCCAGTTCGGTGATGGGGTTATCTGTTAAAGCGAATATCTAGTTTGGAGTAGGTGATGTAAGGTCTCAGCTGAATGCCATTGATTTAGGAAATGAAAGCCGTCTTCCTCTCCGGGATTTGACTAGCAGCCGCAACTAGATTGATACTTCAATGAAATTCCCACTTTTTAATAGTTTTTTTGAGTTTTTTACAGTGATTATCCTATTCTGTCAGCTTTGCTAGAGGATTTATAAGTTGAAATTGGCGGTGTTATCTTTTCTAGTAGTGCGGCCAAGGTCCAATTACGAGAATTATGGCTGAATCCACTCCCAGCTGGTGCGGATTATGACAATGCTTTACTTGTGAGAGAGACAGGCTGTGATAATTGAATTGCTCATCTTCTAGCTTTCACTTTTTACCCCCCATGAAAGCTTTGATGCTTAAACGTTTATCCATGGCTCATCATTAGTTTTCATTTCAAGTCTCTTTTCATGTATTTTTCAGGTGTTAGACTTCGTTTCAGTTTTGTTGAGTTGAATTTTTGAACTTGGAAGCAAAAGATGGGGTTTAAAGAATTTGAGATCATTGATTTTGGTCATTTAGAAACAAAAAAAAAAAAAAACAGATTGGTGTTTTCGACATGATTAATCCTTAAAGAAAAGGCAGCAAAACAGATGCAGAGAAAAAAACAGTTTAACGCCCCAAACTTGGTTGAATGACTTCTTCCTGTGTCATGTATCTCCTGTTGTAGTAATAGTCTTCAGAAACACCGAGTATTTAGTTGTGCTCGTGCTGTTTTGGTTAAAAGATTCCTTGCAGTACTACCTACTTGTGCATTCCATTTTTCAAGCCTTCAATATTATATATGCTTTTGCTACTCTTGTTTTGACTTTTCCTTGGCCATTCAAGCTTCCACTAAAAAATTAAAAGCTCACGTATGGTTCACAAAACTGACATACTATAAAATCAGTTAAGTTTTGCTGTGGACTGAGTTGCCATCCTCTTGAACATGATTGTCTCTAGTGTCTGTTGCCAACGCCAGCATTCCATAAGTGATAATAGTTTGTCTTCTTCCACTGGTTTTAGAAGAAGGGTAACATAAAGTAGTATGTACGGCAAACATGTCAGTCTTGGCATTTAGAGAATCAAGGGGAGGAAAAGCTGGCAATAACTTCTGGAACTCCAGGGTTGATTGATGAGGTTGTAGATATCAGATTAAACCACATCATACAAGTTTGCTTTGATGAAAGAAGAGAAAGAGAACATCCAACAGAGGAGAGAATAGGGCATTCTCCAATGAAAAACCGACAACCAAGAAAAGTACAGAAAATAAAGTAAAAATCCTCACGAAAAAATAGAGATTCAATTTCTTTGCAGAATAGATAAAGGTATCCCTTCAAACAACTGTAGAATTTAACCCAAAGCAAAGCAAGGAAAAATGTGTCTGCATTGTACATGTTAAACGAACAAGTTTTAATTGATAAGAGTTAAGTTTGCATTTATATCGCAAAAGTTGGAGGAAGCCTTGAATTAATTTTTTAATTTGCTTGGAATTTTTCCTTGTTATTCGACTTAATTAAACCCACTAGTGCTGAATGCCATGTGCAGTTTCTGCTTTAAATGCTATGTATAGCGGATTAGGTTCACCCCCGCAGCTATCACAATGGAGCTCAAGTGGTGGCGACCCATGTGGACAGTCTTGGAAAGGTGTCACTTGTTCAGGCTCGAAAGTCACAGAAATGTAATATCTTATGCCAGATCCACCTCCTCCCTTTGAGCATCTCTATTTTTTATTGAGTATTAATAGTTGGAATTTGTTTTCTCTTCTACCAGTAAAATATCTGGCCTTGGACTTTCTGGATCAGTGGGTTTCCAGCTAGCAGATATGAAGTCTTTAACTGAGCTGTAAGATCCATTGTCCTTAAATGATCTGTTCATATGTATTATATAGATATAAGTGAGTGTAATTACACTGGTCCTTGGTGAAATATGCAGAGATGTAAGCAGTAATAATTTGGGAGGTGATATACCTTATCAACTTCCTCCAAATGCCCAGAGATTGTATGTTTTCCTTTCTTGTTCCCTTGTTTGTTTTTCCATTTCTGAGTTTATGATGATATACATTAACAATTTTTGGTTTGCAGGAACCTTGCTAATAATCAGTTCACTGGAGGTCTTCCATGGTCCATTTCTCAGATGTCTTCCCTTAAATACCTGTGAGAACTCTTCTACTTGTTCATAATTCATATGCCACTTCTGAAAGTTCAATGTAACACTTTATCCCCTTCCTTTTTGGAGTTCAGAAACATTGGTCACAATCAGCTACAAGGCCCTCTTAGCGACATGTTTGGACAGCTCACTTCGCTCACCTCATTGTAAGATCTTCTCAAAAATTCCCATAGATAAAAGAGTACATTTATTGTAGGCTTTTTTTTTTCAATCAGCTGAAGAGCTCATGAAACAGTTTGGTTTATCGTTGCTATATATGGTTAATAACAGTCTTTTATACAATGTAAGAAATAAAAGCTCCTAACTGCTATTTGGATTTGTGTTTTGGACAAAGAGATATGAATTAAAGCAGGAAATGCAACTTACTTTAGATGCTTTCATTGGCTAGTATGCTACTTTTACGGTATTGTGAGATATAATACTAAAAAATTGTCTATAAGAACTATTTCTAGTTGATTTAATTGAAGTGATAAGGAAGAATTATTTTGTTTGCTTCAGGGATCTCTCTTTTAATTCTCTGACGGGTAACCTCCCTCAGAGCTTCAGTTCCCTTTCAAGTATGACCTCAATGTAAGCACTGAAAAATTGCTTCTTGTGGCTCACCTATTCAGTTTATATTCTTATTATTTTCCATCTAACTTATTCTTGTTCAGGTATGTGCAGAACAACCAGTTCACAGGAACGATCAATGTCCTAGCCAATCTTCCTCTTAATAATTTGTGGGTAGCTGGTGTATTTGTTACCATTCAGCCATAATTTTATCTTTCATGCTCATAAATGACTTGTAAATGATCCTTATAACATTTGCATCTTTGTGCTTAGGAATATTGCAAATAACCGTTTCACTGGATGGGTTCCTGAACAGTTGAAAAATATTAATTTACAGTGAGCATTTCAGACTGTGCTTTTAATTGTTATGGTTGTTATTCTTTCCGTAACAAATTTTATAAAATTTTAATATGAATAATCTTGATACCAGAAAAGATGGTAATTCATGGAACTCAGGGCCTGCACCCCCACCTCCGCCTGGTACACCTCCAGCAAGCAGAACTAACCGGAATCACAAATCTGGAGGCAACAATACTCCATCCAGTGGTGACTCTGGTGGAGGCGGAAAATCAGGAATAGGTGGTGGTGCAATAGCAGGAATACTGATATCCATCTTAGTTGTTGGGGCTGTAGTGGCATTCTTCCTGGTGAAGAAGAGAAGATCGAGGAGGTCAACCTCTGATATTGAAAAGCTTGATAATCAGCCTTTTGCTCCTCTAGCTTCAAGTGAAGTGCAAGGTAACAGCTTTTTATATCTGCTACTTTCATCAAGTTGACCATCATAACTGCAAAAATTGGCAGTGGGAATTATAGTTTATGTTATTTAAAAAAAAATGGTTTTTGTTGTTCTATCAAGATGAATCGCTGCAAAATTTGGATTTGATCTTATTCATTCATTACTAAATTGATTTTTCAAATTAAAGAAATTGAATTTAGAATCAATTTGCTGATTGGAGTTTCAAATGAAATACCAAGTGATTGCTCAACCATCCGAGTTGCTGAAAAAAATTATTTACATGGTTCTGGTCTTGGCCCATGCCCAAGCACATGGAATCAATGCTGGCACATATATAGAATAAAACTTGAGATATTATATTTGTGTTTAACTACTACATAGGTCAAGGGTATAGGCTGTTTTACACATTCGATGTGTTGTTCATTCTCAGAGCCAGTGGCTAACATTTTTAGTTCCTTTTTGCCATAAATTATTGTGCTTTGATCGCCTTCATTCAAGTTTTTACTTCTTATCTTATTACAGAGAATAAATCTATACAGACTTCCTCTGCATTTGAGACCAAGACATTTGATTCAGTTCCTGCAATAAACCTTCGACCTCCTCCTGCTGACCGTAACAAATCATTTGATGAAGATGATTTCCCAAAGAAGCTTTCTGTTGTAAAGAAAGTTGCCACAGTTCCTGCAAATGTGACATCATTTTCAATAGCAGACTTACAGATGGCTACTGGCAGTTTCAGTGTTGAAAATCTTCTTGGTGAGGGGTCTTTTGGACGTGTTTATCGGGCTCAATTTGATGATGGGAAGGTATTTTTGTTTTCTTACCTATTAATTTCTATAACTAGAATTGGAGCTTTAGTGCTTAGACTGCTCTCGTTTATCTTCATGTGCCTTGAAAATATCATAGGTGCTTGCCGTGAAGAAAATTGACTCATCAGCACTTCCTGGTGAAATGTCAGAAGAATTTACGGAGATAGTGTCAAGTATCTCCCGGTTGCATCATCCAAATGTAACAGAGTTGGTTGGTTATTGTTCAGAGCATGGACAGCACCTGCTAATCTATGAGTTCCATAAAAATGGCTCATTGCATGACTTCCTGCATCTGTCAGATGAGTATAGCAAACCATTGATATGGAATTCACGCGTTAAAATTGCTCTTGGAACTGCTCGTGCATTAGAGTAAGTAAATAGTAAATATTTGCCAAATTAGACATTTTCTTTTTGTTTTTTTTTTCCTTATCTTTGTGTAGCAGTCTTGTGACCTGCAAAGCAAGTTATTTGTAGAACAATATTCTTTTTATCTCTAGGATATTTTCTGAGTGGCTTTGAGGAACTGATACAAGGATCATACAGGTACCTGCATGAAGTCTGCTCACCATCCATTATTCACAAAAATATGAAATCAGCCAACATTTTACTAGATTCTGAGCTCAATCCTCATCTATCAGACTCTGGCATTGCAAGCTTTTCCCCAAATGCAGATAAGGTGAATTTTGAGATTCTTGGGGCTCTATTTAGTTGTAGTCAGAGAACATTTTGTGTTGGTGAACTTTTGTTCTTTTCAATTTGTGTATGTTTGCATGTAAAAACATGTATAATTGTTGAAAATGAAATCAGGTTTCGGAAATGGATAGACAAAATATGGGTTGAGTTTGAAAAGAATGAAAAAGCTATTTTCAAACTTATGCCATATTTTCATTCTCATTTTCTAAATTTTGTTTCCATTTTCGAAAAACTATACATATTTTTGTATATAAAACATTTATGCATATAGATGATAGAAACTCAAAACAAAAATAAAAATGGCATCGATGTTTTATTCATAGAAAAAATTCATTTCCATTTATATTATGTTTTACACTAGCATGACATAGTTATGCTTTTAATCTCATTTGTTCTAATTTTTCAAATGCAATATTATATTTATTCTTTGCGTTCTATGGTTATCCATCTTGATGCAAATCCATACTAACGCACGTGGCTTC